GTTTCGAGCGTTAGCCCTTTCGCTCCGACGAAGGGCTAACGCTCGAAACGTCAGCTTTTGTAATCGTTACGGTGGCCAATTTACCATTTCAACTTTGTTGATATATCCAAATTATTTCGTTACCCCCACCGACGCAGCCCCAAACAGTTTCTTTAGAAACTATCAGCCTTTATACAAATATAAATACGTCGTTTGCATACAAGACTGACTCTTACAACAACACGAATTCATTCTGGTTTCTGTCTTGTGGAGCGACGAGGGGTATTGTTATCCTTCCCATCCCCCCATACCCCCCCCTCAATGAAATGATAGTCCATCACTGGTTCCCCCCTGACTCTGACCATATTGCCAACTTTCCATGCCAGTTTGCAGGGTGGGAGAGACGCAGAGGGTCTAATACATCTTACCCGAAGAGCACAATGCAATAACCCCAACTGAAGAATCTTCCAAATGCGTTACCACACTTTGGCTGGCCAAATTATCCAACCCAGATCTGCCCTGTTCATGAAAGTCATTTGTAATCTCCAGAATGTCCTCTCCTGATGTCAGAAAGCGTTTTGTTCTATGATAATTAATTCTTGTCGATCTCACAGGGGCACGTTTTACCAAATATTTTACCACCTCTGTTACCTCGAAAACCGAATAAAGAAAATCCTCAGGACCAAATTTGTTTCTATATTTCTAATAATATTCACCTTTTATTGGCTTCTTCTAATTCAACACTCATGCCATCAATTTTATTGCTTGCATCCATAATTGCTGCTTGAAGCTATAAAATGAGAAATCAAAGTTAATACTGTCAAAAATCGAATGAAAAATAAGAAAACCTCAAAAGTGTGGCCAACCTTGTCCTTTTCCACTGCTACATCTGCTTTATCCTTCTCTAGAGCATTGACACTTTGCTTGAGTGACTGGTTCTCCTGTGAGAGGATATTTACGTCCTTTGTAACTTGGTCTCTCTGTGTACGAGCATCTTCCCTGATAACGATCCAGATGGCAGAAAATATTATTTTAACCCACCATTTCTCCCACAGATAATTCATTCTTTGTAGAGTCAATGCAAAATCAACACAGTATCCTTGTTCTTGACTTTTAGCTGGCTTATTAATCTGTTACAAGTTAACTGCTACCTTGCTTAAATGGATGGTGCCTGGGGTATCCAGGAGCTTCTTGGTGGCCAGCAGCCAACCCCTGCAGAAAACACCGCTCAATGGCAGGCAAATCCCATGGCCCAGCCATAAGGCACCTGTCCATCCTGGCTGGGTGGTGAGTTGAAAATTGATGGGGGTGCATAGGGGGTTGGGGGGCACTTAATAAACAACCACAGAGAAGCACTTAGGACTGGTGAGTAAAGCACACCACCAAAGTGATTAAGGGCTCAAAGATACCAGCTGTAGTGATGTTCCAAATTTTTCCATTTGAGCCTGCACTTGTGACAATGACCACTGACCAGACTAAGCTCCTGAGCATTTAACTTTATCAATTATCATTTACCAAGCTAAAGACAATTATTTAACTTTATCAATTATCATTTACCAAGCTAAAGACAATTATTTAACTTTATCAATTATCATTTACCAAGCTAAAGACAATTATTCAGTACTTACACTTGACTCCTCAATTTCAAAATCACTGCTTCTGCATCTGAAGAAGATGAACTGAGCAAATGCAGTTGTTCTTCTTTGCTGTTTGCCAAAGACCTTGCATCTTCAACCTGTACACATTGTTAGATGCCTTGAGATACTATGACAAGCTCAATTTAGGGTACAAGATCTAACTTGGAATTTTCAATGAAAAAATATGTACATATATACCCAAAAGGAAGGAGAATAGGAGCAGCTTTTTTTCCTTTGCTGTCAAGCTCCATCAGATATGATCCCTTACTTATGAGTAGCAAGGAATGGTCAACGTGGTTTTCAACCGTTACTATTCCACTTTGCATTAAAAAAAAAACATTAATAAGTGATGCAGTTAGACTATTTTAGCTGATTTGGGGTGTTATCAGTAGTTTTGAACATTAACACAAGAAACTGACTATTGTGTTTGGATTTCACATTATGGCACAGCTTCCTGCTACACCATTGGCAGCCATTTATATAACAAAATATTGAACCCCATAAATAAGTCTCATGTTTTCCTTGCAGTTTCCATGGATAAGCTAGAGCACAGAACATGGTCACAACTTCTTTACTTGTCAAACTATGTACTGGATTTAGTGTCTCTGAATAGATGTACCTCCTTCTGAAGACTGTCACAATGAGTTTTCAGTTCTTCCAGTTTTGTTTCCATGTCACATTTCTCCTTTTCAGTGATGTCCCTTGCCTTACTAAGAGCTTCCACCTCTTCTTTTCTTGATGAGTTTTCCTGTCGGAAAGAACTTTGATTACAAACACTTCTACAAAATAAATCATTTTTGCAACATTGTTATCAACCAGAGAAGTTGTGTGGTACTATCACCAAAGATAGAACTTGTCAGGGAAGTCTGATGAAATGCTGGAAGGGAGGGGAGGGTAGTGACACTTGTTGTCACTTCATACCAAGGAAACTAGGTTAAGCTCTGTCTGGATGTCTGGCTTACATAGACAGTTCCCTTTTTTACTTGTCATTGCCATGGTCACATACCTTGGAGACAGTGTCAAATGATTGGACCAAGCTTTGATGCTCTTGTTGGAGTGCTGAGTACTGTTCTGTTAGTTCTTGTTGTTTTTTCTCTGCATCTTCTTGAGCCCCCACAACAAGACCCTTCTCAGCTTTCAAAGATTCCAGCTGCAACTGCAGTGTTGTAAGTTGATCTTGTGATGCCTTGTATTCAGACTGAAGCTTACTGAACTGTTCCTGTGTATTCAATCGACAAACAGCAGTTAGAGGGTTGTAAAGCCTATTATAAACATACTAATCTCACATTACTTATGATCTTGCAGTAAAGAAGACACTCAAAAAATATGATTTAAGTTCAAGGCCCAGCTCATTAAAAATTCGTACCTCAGTTCTTGGACCATTTGGCAGAAAAATTTCACTTGGCTGGGGGTTCAAACTCTGACATGGAACTCAAGAGTTTTATCTGTCCCACACATCTCACAATAATTCAAATTAACCTTTTAACTTCCACGAGTGACCGAGACAGAATTCCTCTTCATGAGAAGAATGAAAAAGAATTAAAAATGAGTTACTGTTGAGCCCTGACATGTCATCAATTTTGTTGCCGATTGTACCAAGCCTCTAAATGAACAGATAAATTTTCAACATTCAAATTGGTTCACCTTTAATCCAGACAATTCTGTGTTCTCTTTTAAAGTCTCCTGCTGTAGAGTTTTCAACTTGTGCAACTCTTGAGTGAGCAAGTTTATCTCTCCAATTTTTTGTTTAATTTCCTCCTCAACAGCTGAACGCTCAGTATCCTTGGTTTGCGTAAGATCCTGAAACAACAATAATCAAGGAACTTTGACTTGGAAGATATCAAAACTGCAGCTTAAGAAATTACTGGGCACAAAAACAACTTCAAGGCTCTATAAATATAAATACCTACTTGCAATTTGGCTTGATGTGCACTTTTCATATCTTCTCTATTTTTTAAACTTTCCTCAAGCTCGGATTTCTATGCGGAGATGAAAACAGATTGTTAATTTTGCTGTGCAAATGTAATATTTAAACCATTATTTAATACTGCTGAAAAAGGATTTAATCTGGTTTCCCTGACCTGCAAGAAAAATGCTAAGAAAAATAAAACTTCAGTATATCTTACCAGGTTTTGTACTATTTTATCTGTAGCTTGAGTCTGATCGTGGTGGGATTTCTTTAACTCTAGCATATCTTTATCGTGTTTCTCCTGATAAAAGAAAAATAAAATTTAAAAACAAAAACTTGACCTTGAGTTACCTACTTTACCTACCCTTTCCCTCAAACAAATTGTCTTAACTTTCTCATTTATCTTGGCACAGTATCTAATCCAAGTTTTTTACACAAAAAAAATTGGGCGGTTATTTGCATTTGAACATGAAACCATATTTTCCCTACTGAATCAAACAGCCCAATGCGAGAATTACATGAAGAGACTCCCAGTGTCTTAAACTCCTGTATTAAACAGTTACCAGTAAATGAATTATCTTATTGTAAGAACAGCAGGGCCAGTTTCTCTTTTCTCGTCCCATTACTGTTCAAAGGTGTGTTCAGTATATATCACACTTACCCAATTACAAGGTAGAATTTATTTTAAGCAATATACTGCACTTTCTATCAGTTTATGACATGATAACTAAATGCACCTTTGCCTGTGCAAGATCTTCTGTCAGCCTGCCAATCTGGACTTGAGCTTCAGCTGAGGTAGATTTCAAATTATCCAAAGTCCTATAGAGAAAAGATTCTGATCTTAAATGCTTCATTGCAATAATAATAAAAAAACCTTCACGAAAGATTTTTTAAAATAGTTCATTTAAAAGAGAAAATAACAATTGACTTCCATGATGGATACAAGCAAGAGTGAGGAAGTAATCTTGCAATCTACAGACAACGCTGCTTGGGTCAACGTGTCTTGCAATGTGTCATGCACTGAAAGAATCATTTCATGTGATGGTGGTATTGTGGTAAAAAAAAAAAGCAATAGTGGTTTAGATAATCCAGTTGACATCACTCACAATAACTGGAGATAAATGACCAAAAAAACTGTTAAAAGTATTAAGTATGTGCCCAGCACTGCTAAACCTAAAAATACCACTTAGAACTCCCATGTTTCTGATAGGCATGCAAGTACAAAGAGCAGTCAAAAGAATTCACGTGAGAGTGCAAAAGCAACTGCAAGTCTAGTAGAACTTATGTGGTAACAAAACAAATGACTTATTAAATTAGTTTGAAAGACTTTTTGACTAACTGACAGACACAAACAGACAGAAAGATTGACACACAGACAGCCTGACAGATTGCTGTTTGAATGGGGTGAGTTTCCAAAGAATCTGTGGTGCTGTGCCATGGGGGTGGGGGTGTCACAAGGTAATTTGGTTTGATGATGTAAATTGGCCACCATAGAGTGTTTCTAAAGTTCGTGTTCTGAGCATTAGCCCTTTATCAGAGGAAAGGATCAATCAATGATTGGCCCCTTTACCCACCCAAAAAATATCAAGGGTATACTGTTTGATTAAACACCACATTCCCCTAAACATTAAAGGAAGAGATATAAAGCTGAGATTAAGAAGAATTAGTCTTGCAATCTTAAAAGTGAAAGGACTAAATAAATGATGATAAATTTTACTGAATAACTGATTAGTGACTGTTTGAGAGTCCAACTAGGAGTCTACATTCAGCATTCTTATTCCAGCAAATGCTTTCTGACTGAACTTCTAACTAACCAGAATTGGCCTTGAGCATGGATGGATCAATATGTCTCTGTATAAGCCACACATTTCTGACCTAGTGCTTTAATTTTATTTCATAGAAATAAGCAAAGACACTTCTGTTAAAAAAAAAAAAAGGGGGGGAGCTGTACTCTGCTTCACTTTGAAAAATTGTATAGTCTTTGAAAAGGAAAAATGACAAAACATAGCAGACAGGTACTGTAAACCACAAGGACACTACAAAACTGAAGTACACCAAAACAAAAAAACTGAAGTGACACTGCAAGGAATCTGAAACTTTTGGAGAAAATGGAATGGAAACTAAACTCTCAGAAAGCTGTGATGAACACATTCTTCATAAGCCTCAGATCAGAGATCCAGTCTGGTTCAAGAGCCGACTTGTTTACCTGTCCTTTTCTCTGAGTTGTTCATTGAGGTAAACCAGCTTTTCTGAACTATCACCAGAATTCTTTGCCAATTCTGCAATTTGTGACTCCTGTAGGAGAATTTGAAATGAGACACTCAGGTGATATTTAATTTGTTAGTTAATGGTTTGAAAATGGTTCTTGCTTTTCACATTGCTACTTTAGAAATGACAATAGACAAAATGTTGAATTGCAAGCAGAAAACAAAAAAGATTGCAAGATGACCAAAACATTTTCTTCTTCCACTGGGGTGGGTTGTAGCTCGAAGCAATTAAATCTGATGTGACACAAAAACCTATGAAATTTACAAAAAAGGGTTTTCTTTTTTAATCCAAGGAAGAACTGAATTTGAATTCAAACTGAACCAAATTAGTCTGCTTACTGTGGTGAAACCACACCATACCTAGTTTCTAGATGTTCTGGGTGATAAATGAGCAATTACACCATTGAAAATTATGTATTACAAGGTTATCACAGAAAGTGAGTTATTGTTGCAAAGGCAAGGTGCAATATTAGAAAGCACAAGTATAGTGTACCATTGCCATACAATGCTGGGCACTTCATTAATGGAGAAATTACAAGGTTTAAATAGGATGCAAAGAAATACAAAAAAGAATAAAAAAGAGAACCAAAATAGTTGTGATCATGGCCTAGTAAGAATACTACATATTAACTAACAGAGGTGATTTTAAAACATCTAACTTCTCGCTATAATATCTATACATTATCCACCAAAAAAAATTGAGAATACTCAAACTAATCGGGTTGAAGTTACCTTGATCCAACCACCAAACTCTTATAACTAATTTAAAAGAGATATGTTGCAGCTAGAGGGGAGAATTAAGAATCAGATCTTGAAGATTTAAGGCTGAACCATATACAAGAGTATCAAAGGTGATACTAAGGTTCTCCACAAAAATAAGATGTACAAGGACAAAAACATGGGGAACTCCAAAAGCTACCGAGTGCCTTTTTCTTGTGACAGAGGTTAATTCCATGTTCAAATATATAAACTTTTAAGCCAGAAATACTAACTTTGGAAAAAAAACTTAATCCTTATCAAATGTACAAAAAAATGTTCTAGATGACATGTACCTATGGCAATCTCATCTAAAAGCATTATGAGAGGAAGCAGAAAGCTGCAAGCTACAAAGATGGCTTATGCAAGAAGTTGAAGTAAGAGAAAGCAATTTGATTTTTTTTTTTAATTTTGAGGGAGGAGGGAGTTTAACCACAAATGGAACCTGAAGCTATAAAACACTCTGAAACATTTCCCTCAAGCACTGAAACCAACACAAAGGTATTGCCATCAATACTACATGCTGAATCACACAAACACTGTGACAGTCAAATCCATACTAACCAATTTAGCTTTGTCTGCAGCAAGATTCTCTGATTTGACTTCACTTAAATGAAGCTGTTTTTGAAGTTCTTTTAAAGCCATGAAGAAGAATACAAATAAACATTATTTGCATGGTTTATCTCACACCTAACTATTACTGTCTGGGATGAAAATTCTTGGGGAGTTAAATTTGATAGATTGGCTTTTTTAGTTTGTCTTTTGCTGCAACAAATTTTTGTATTATCTGTTAAACCAACAGAACACTAACAAAGAAGGAAATGAAATATGTCCAACTCTTTCCAACCTTGTTGATTTAGAGCAAACTTAAAACACTTCAGTGAATTCTCTTCTATCAAACATGGTAGTGCCACAGTACCAAAAAAATCTTACACATTAACAAAATATGACAAAAACTTTTCCCCTACCTCCTGACTTGAGTAGTAAAATGATTGCTGGGGTTATTTTTTTGGTGTAAATTACAGCAAATTTTTGCAGGCAAAAGGCAATCTCCACAATTAACCAAAGATGAGGCAAACTTTTCCTAATACTTTACTTTCTCTGTAGTTCTAACCTTTACATAAGACCTCCCACCCCCATCTGTTTAGCCAGTGAGCAGGCTTTCATGTTTAGGTTTTGCCTTATAGTACAGCTGTACTACACCATTGGCAGCCACTTAAGTAAAAACCTCTTGAAATCCTGTAATTCCATGTTCAACTCTCTGTGGCACTCATCTCACTGGTTGAAATTTACTTCAAATATTTCTTGAGTATTCTCAGCATCCTAAATTAACACAGAGGTTCTACATAGACCAACACTTGACATTTATTCCCCTTTTTTCTTATTTTCTGCTCTTGATATATATGTTGTAGTTCAATTTTATCCTTGGTTCAAATTTTATTTTCCTTTGTTCTCGGTCATGTTAATGTATGATAATGAGTTTGAAACAAAGGAAAATAAAATTTGAACCAAGGATAAAATTGAACTACAACATATATATCTAAATCATTCTTTATTTACCAAGTGTTGTGACCTTGATCACTTGAAGCTCACTGCACAGAGAAGAAAATTCATCTTCCTTGTTGTGGAGCTTTTCTGTAAGATCTACAATTGGATTCAAAGATGTGAGGAAATGTTGACCTGAGACCTTGGCAAGCAATAAAAGAATATTTCACATTTATGTGCACTGGATGTGTTTGCTTTAACCCTCACCCTTTCTAGAAAATCTAGTACATAATGAATTGATATATGTAGGAAATTGTAAGTCCAGATGTTTTGTTTCTGGACGTGTTTCTTTCATTTTTTCCAAGTCAATAAAGATCTTATTTATCTATCTACCTATCTATCTATCTATCTATCTATCTATCTATCTATCTATCTATCTATCTAGTAGGTTGTTCTTATTCACCTAGCCTCATACAGCAATTTTTAAAAAAATATACTTATTTTATCTTTATTTTTTGCAAACATATTCAGGGTTGCCTTGATTTTGGCTTACTTTGCTAAAACCAATTGTAACCTGTTCTCTACCTTTTCCAGCACTTTATGCATTTTTATTTAATCATATTTTATTCTGCATTCTGAATGGCTCCTTGTTATATTTTCTTTTCTTTTCCTTGGCTGTTAAGATAACTTTAGTTTTGGTTTTACTAAACTCAATCCAATTTTGCTTTATTGCAGTAGTGTGTATTAACTAAACCTTCCTCTTTTTTTAAGGGTACATGATTTCACTTTTAACATTTAATAAAAGCACTTCTTACCATAAATCTCTTTTTGCAAAGCTTCACTCTCTTCCCTTGACTTCACAAGTTCTGATTTCTATGATAAAAACAAATTTGTCAGAACAAACCATTCACAAATGCAGTAAAAAGATCTGTCTTCTTGTCTCTCCATACCAAATAAGCTTACATTTTCTTAAAATGTAATCCAAGGAGTATTTTTTTAGAGCTTCCATTTTTGGTGCTCGAGAGCACTGTTTACAACTTCTTAGAAGGCTAAACCAAGCAAACAAGATCTCTGTTTGAACAATTATTTGGGTACATTTCTGCATACATCTAACTAAACTGTTTTAGGAAATAGTGAGCACACTACATAACACTATAGTGAGCATATGATAATTTACAAGATGAAACAAAAGCTACACTTACCAAGATTTTAATCTCACTTTCAAGGCCTGTCTTGGTCTTAGTATGTCCCTCTAACTCTTTTGCCAAAGAACTAATCTTTTCAGAATTCTCTTTGAGCTGTAGTTCTCTTAAGTTGGCATCACCAGAATGCTCCGCTTGCTTTGCAAACAGTGTTGCCTCCAACTCTCTAATCTTGCTATTAGAATCACTGACTGACGTCCGCAAATCTAAAACTACAGTATTTGATTCAGACAAAGCACTCTCTAATTCTGTAATCTTTGATAATGCTGTGCCTTTTTCATTCTGAAAAAAAAAATGTAGAAACTGATTGTCAACACATGTATGAGTGTATCATATGCCACTTAACCTTATTATTTATGGAGCAATATTCAATTGAGTGTAAAGTAATTTGGGATTCCACTGGTTTTGCTTTACTTTACTGTGTGACTGATCCATAAACTCGTACCACCACTTCAATTGATCAGATGAAAAACTAAAACCAATCACAACTTGATTGTCTAGCATTTTCCCCTGTTTGAGGAAGTTTGCTCTTTGGTTTTGCCAAGAGTTCACACTGGTTCTCAACCCTTTAACACTTTGACTGCTAAGAGTGACCAGCATCTAATTTCTCCTTTCAATATCACCCCTGAATCACACATTAAGGTCCCAGGAATAGAGGAAATGATCACCAACTAAAGAAGCTCTTGATTGTTAATCAAATTCTCCCCGTCAGCACCCTTGAAATGTTTAAAGAATAGTATAGGGAATATGCGTACCAATGTTAAGGTGTAAAGGGTTAGCTCCCATAAGTGATTAACATGAAACTTCTCCCTATAATATCTTTACATTATCCAGAAAATATGTAATGAGAATGCTCAAGCTCATCGGGTAGAAATTGATATCTTGATTTAACAACAACAAATTATTTTAACTTATTTACAAGGAAATGTCTAGCAGCTAGAGGGGAGAATTAGCAATCAGATCTTTGGAATTGAAGGGTCAAGGGTATTTTCCTTTCTTCTGATGGGTTGTTGTAATTACTTCAATTGGTTTTGGTTCTATAACACTCAACAGAAAAGTGCTCATAACATAACTCCAACATTACTTCCACTTAACTTAACTTCCGTGAAAGAATAAACTGTACCTGTGTGGTTTCAAGCTCCTTCTTAAGTCTGGAAAGTGAGGCAACCTTTTCTTTTAGTTCAATCTCGAGTGTTTCAATTTCTTTCTGCTCAATCTGACAAACAAAAAAATTCAATCCATGATTTGACACAACTTTGCTTAAGATGATATCACCCTAACATTCATGACTCAATCAGTCCTGATAAAACCAAAAGACAAAAGTAATTGAAAGGTAAGTAACTTGGAGGGCACTGCTTTCAAGGTAGTTTTAAGAAAATTTCTGAGACAAGAGCTTTCAGACTTTTTCAGGCCTGGAAATTCTTTTGAAGAGTACTCTTTGCTAACATACATGACCTGTAGATCAGAACCTCAGATGTTCTATGACTGTGACTCTTTATAATCAGCTTTCTAAATGTCAAGAGAAAGGGAAAAAAAAAAAAAAGAAATCCTGAAAATTTCCTGTAAATATCAATTTTAAATAAAAAAGAAAAGTGTTATACCTTAAGTTCATCTCCAAGAGTAATCTCTTCTTCCTCTAATTTAAATTGCAAATCTTCCACCCTCCTGTATAAACAGTGATAACAGTAAATAAATTAATTTGAGCCAATGATTTTACAGTGATTAGTGATGAGCTTTCCTACAGGGCTCTACACTAACTTTTCAACTTACTAGCCAAGTGGCTAGTGACATCTTAGATGTTTTTAGATGTTATGACAATTTCAGTCTGTTTACTAGCCAAAGTAGCCAGTGGAAATTGAAAACCACTGGCCAAAACTGAATGTCTACTAGTCTGTGGCTAGTGGGTTACCGTTAGTGTCGAGCCCTGTTCCTAGTCAACCTTTTTACTCCCAAAAGTGATTAATATGTAACCTCTCCCTGTAATATCCATACACTATCTAGCAAACAGGCAATGAGAATATTAAACTTATCAGGTGGAGGTTGTTCTCTTAATCTGACACCAGATTTTCATGACTAATCTGAGAAGAAATGCTAAGCAGCTAGAGGGGAAAATGAACAATAAGATCTTGGCAATTAGAGGGTTAAGTGATCAAACATAATCAAACTTCTGAATTTGACTTTTACCTTTTCTCTTCCTCCAGCTGTGACTGGAGGTCATCTTTTTCCTTGTTTGCTGTTTCAAGCAAACTCTGGAGTTCACTGATGCTCTTTTCTTTCTCAAGAATAGCCTGTATATGCAAGTCAAACATGTTTTAATGTTCTGTAGGATCACTTAACAGAATGCTATTAATGATAATACCACTAAAGTCACTTGACTTGAAATTTCAGCTGGCAGCCTAATTTCTAAGTGATAACCCTGCCATATACAAGTATGCACCATACCTCATTGTGTTGTTCCTTTAGTTTGCCAACTTCTTCCTCAACCTGCATTGAATTCAAAGTATGAGCTTAGAGTTGAAATCTTCAAGAAATTCTATCATAATCCTCTCCTAAAACATTCAAGAGCTCAAATCATGAAGTTTGAGCTAACTGCATCTTTAAATTTGAAGTGCACAGTTAAAATGAGAAATTATGCTCATTCTCAATGAATGTTCATTTCAGCAAAAAGGGACAAATGAAATCTTTTAAAACTTCACCATGGTTTGCACAGAATTGCATTAATTACACTACACCAAAACCAGCAATTTAAGGAATATTGTAAATCACATTATACTCAACTAAATCAAGAGCTTTGAAAATTTATAAATAGATGTGAAAACTGAGGGGCCTTACACAGTTGTCAAGTCCCTAAAAACAAACCCAGAGACCTCTCAAATAAGACACACAAGAAGGGAAAGAACACTGTTAATCAATTGAGATGCAATAATAAAAATCTCCACCACAGCATAATACCTTAGTAACTTGACTTGTAGCATTGGCAACTTCTGCTCTTTCAAACTCTCTCTCTGCCAGTAAGGACTGGATTTGCTTTTCTCTGTCTTCCAGTGCTTCCTATTAGTTAATTAAATCCTATTTAAGTCACAATTCTATTTGCATTTATAACATAGTACACATTGTCTGATTGGTCAATTCACTTTCCAAGTAGATGCTTTGACAGGTCATAGAGCCTGCATGTAGCTAGTTATGTCATCAAAGCAATAGAACCTTTTTTTCCGGGCTCTATTTAAACAATAGAGTGTTTCTGTCAAGGAACTATCGGCTGATAGTTGCCCCGCGGAAATTTGATGTTCTTAAAACAAATATACTTAAGAACATTAAATTTCCAAGGGGTAACTACCAGACCG